ATGCTGGTCAGCTGTGCAACATGGTTTGATGAGGGCAAGCTGGACTGTTAATTTGTAGCTATGAATTTGTATTTAAAGAAGCTTGTCACAGCTTCCTTGACTTTAGATATTTGACAAGGATGTTTCCTATGTTTATAACTATAGTTCAGAACAGCTAGTTTAGTAAGCGTGGGGAAAGGAGCCTTTTTGTTGCCCACAGGCTGCTAGCTGTTACCAACAGGCTCCGGCATACCCTTCATGCCTAGTTAGTAGTGAGCAGCTAGAGGAGCAGAAATGTAATTCTTCATACAGGTTCTGATCTTTAAGGAGGAAAAAAGTTGGGAAGGATGTTTCTCAACCTAGAACTCACTGACTATGGCTGAGAAGAAGGGGTGTGGCTTCAGTGCAAGCAGTAGTTGCCCGGAACCATCAAAATTATTCACAAGTGAATTCAGACTTTTGTATTTAATTCTTAGGCTTATGTGTGGAAACCAGTATGGTCCCATACTGACTTGCTTATTTCTGCAAGCAGTGTGTTGCTTTGGACAACCCTCCTTAATGCAGATGTGTTTCCAGTCTGATTACATCAGCTAGCTTCCTATTTGCAGGCAGGAAGGAAAGATTGCTTGTTTAGCAAGTACTTGGATGGAACAGAGTTGCTTTTTTCTATTGCTTCTCCTGTTCTTTCACATTCATTTCGTCTTTTGTGCATATATTGCTACATTTTGTTTTGCTCTGGATAATACTTTATGTAAATTGTTTCATTGTAATTCATGTAAATTATACTTAAGCTTTATAGAATTGCCTTCACTATGCTATTACCTGATTGGTAGCTGTGAATGAAGCAAGTGAAAGTTGATATAGGTGTTTGGGATAGATCCATGGTAAGGCTGAGTGGGAAGATGGAGTGGGGAGCTGGTAAGCATGTGAAGCATCTTCAGAGTCTGTAAAGGTGGAAAAAAGATGTTAACGTTTTTGAGGAAGGTGAATCCTAGGAGTGTTTACTGTTGCTGGCAAGGAGGGGAAGGATGTCAGGTACTCTTGGAAATACTACTAGAGACATTAATACTTCACCAAACATTTCAACGTGCTTAGAGGTGATAAAGGTGGGTGTTAGTGTTCTGTGTTCCCTATACATACAGATTATCCTGGTGAGGTCGGTTTATGGTTTGTATGTAAATCATCCCAGTGGAAGAGCAAGAATGTGATTGCTCTGGAAAACCCCTAGTGCAGCTGGCCACAGGGGAGACCAGAAGCCTGAGAAAATCTGTAGCTTGTGCTAATGTAAATGTCTGGCTCTTGCTTTTTACTTCTTAGAGGGGGCAAGAACAGGGGAGCTGGGACGGTTGGCTTTCTGCTTGGCAGGTATCTGTATGTAGTACTGCCGCAGCTGATCTGAGTTGTTGAAGTGGATGGCTGGTGCAACATGTGACTGTTGGAAGAAGGCAGTTTTTATTCTTGCAAGTAGATCTTGCAAAGACAGGGATCCTGTAAAACCTTGTGAACAATGAACAGTAGCAAAGATCACTACCCGTCTACAAAAACACACTTGCCTGCAGAAAATATGGTTACACATGACAAAAGCAAACAGATATCTAGATTACAGTTGTGTATCTACCAAAAAAGAGGCCATTGTATTTTGTGTTTTTTTCCTCTATCCTTCCTTTCTTTGACAGGTCACGAGATACCTATTAGAATTGCAATATGGTTTGATAGGCTTGGCACACTAGGTATTTATGATGTAAAATAAAGAATTATAGCTTGTGCTCATGTATTACCCTGTGCATAAAAGGACTTCAGAAGAAGAGAGGGTTTGCTTGGCTGACTTTCTGATGTGGAAAGCAATCGTATGACAGCATTGTTAGCTTGAGATAGAAGACATTTTTTATTTGAAGTTACAAAGTTCATGGATCCTTCATGTTGGCAAGCTATACCTTCCAATCAACAGAAAGAGCAGAATTGCAGCTTTTGAGTATTTTCCTACTTTTGACAAATAGGAACTGAAGGAGTAACATCATGTCTAAGGAGGAATGACCATCTTGCAGAGGAAGATCATTTAGCCCAGAGCAAGCAGTGCAAAGGCTATATGTTAGGCTTTCTTAAGTGGCTTTGCTAGGCTGTGCCAACAGCACCTCCTGCAGCTGCAGCCCCTGGGGAACTGTCATTCCCATCTCTGCTTTGTTTCCTCAGTAGGGCCAATGATAAAATTATTTCTGGTTTCAAGTAATACTTTTGGACAAGAGCTATTTTTAACTGATTCTATATCAGTGATCCAGCCAAGAGTCAAGTACTGGAGTGTGTCCAGAGAAGGGCAACAAAGCTGGTGAAGGGCCTGGAGCACAAGTCTTATGAGGAGCGGCTGAGAGAACTGCGGTTGTTTAGCCTGGAGAAAAGGAGGCTGAGGGGAGACCTTATCGCTCTCTACAACTACCTGAAAGGAGGTTGTAACGAGGTGGGTACTGGTCTCTTCTATCAAGTAACTAGTGATAGGATGAGAGGAAATGGCTTCAAGTTGTGCCAGGGGAGGTTTAGATTGGATATTAGGAAAAATTTCTTCACTGAAAGGGTTGTCAGGCATTGGAACAGGTTGCCCAGGGCAGTGGTGGTGTCGCCATCCCTGGAGGTGTTCAAAAAACTCATAGACTTGGCACTTCAGGACATGGTTTAGTGGGCATGGTGGTGTTGTGTTGATGGTTGGACTTGATGTTCTTAGAGGTCTTTTCCAAATTTAATGATTCTGTTCTATTCTAGATGTGGCACTTAGGGACATGGTTTAGTGGTGGACTTGGCAGTGTTAGATTTACGGTTGGACTCGATGATCTTAAAGGTCTTCTCCAACCTAAATGATTCCATGATTCTATGAATGGTAGTGCTGGCATGGTGATTAGTGGGTAGTGACTGAGGAAGGATACCCCTTAAGAAAGCACTGTTGCAGAGGAAAAGGTATGTGGAAATGCATGTTGAATACCATTAATAATACTTTCTCTTTAACGGTTTAATAATTGTCTCTTACCTTTCTGAAAATTGCTAATTACAGTTGGTTGGTGCTATATATAGTAGCTATGTGGGGAAGCAAAAAACCTTTGAGCATGACAAGCATAACTTGTCCAAATGCAACTGAAATTGATGGGAAGACTTGTTTGATTGAATAGAATTGCCCAGACATTCAGAATTTTCAGCCCTATGTTCAGTAGGGTGCTGAAAGTTGAATGTTCCCTGTGATTGAACTGCATCTCTGATGTTATATTATAGATTTCAGATGTCTTTGATGTTTTAGGAATGTTGAATTTGACATGCCTTATGAAAAGCTCTGTACTTACTTTGTATTCAGGCTTATGAGTTTGGGAAGAAAAAAAAAAACAACAACCACACCCCCCAAAAAACTTGATTACTGAAAATTGCCATCATTTTAACCATGGCACTTTTTGTTTTAAGGTAGGTTTGTTGCTGTCTGATCTCAAGCACTGATTTCAGTGTGATTCAAGTGGAAGGCCCGATTCCTGAACTGTAGTAAAGCAAAAAGTCCCATTGTTATCTAGCTGTGCTGACTGAATTTAAAGCATAATTTAAATTGTTGATATCTGTATGTGTGCTCTGTATGTTCTTACTTGGAGCAGAAATCAGAGCCGTCGATGTTAGTGGTCTAGTCTGCAAGAATCCTATAAGGATAAGAAGATAGGGAGAATATTTTGAAAGTGCTTATTGAGTTGAAATTACAAAGTCATCTTAAAACCTACTTTGTTTCAGTCTTATTGTCATTGGCAGTACAGCTCAGTTTGTCAAATTACTGCTGCTGCAGAGACTGACAAATAAGTCTCTTCCTCCTGGCATGATTCTTCTTTGCCCATCTGCTCCATTTTGCAACGCTTTACTCACATTTCAAGTTTTACCTTTAAAAGAAACTATTTGCAAAAAAAAGGAAAATATTTGGATAAATGAGGAGGTGATTTTTGTATATAATACAACATCCTAACTTTTATCCACTGATCTTGTTGCTACTCCATTCCAATGCTGCAGTTTTTTTTTTTTTTTTTTTTTTTCTGAGATCTCTGATTAGCATATTCTGGGTGAAGTCGTGCACTGTAACTGCCATAGCATGAGATGTTCCTAGGTTGATGGCTGGCTGGCTTTAATGATCTTGTTTCTTGCCCGTGGAAAAAGCCAGAAATGATGCAGGTATAATTTAGATAATTCTGGGATGAACTACCTAAATTGAAAACCTTATCCTCTGCTGCCTTTGGCAAGAATCTCTCCACCACGTTACTCATTTTCCTTGCCTTAAAGGCCTGCGTTAGAAGGTTCTTCTAAGTTCTTAGAAGAAAGTCCCATCCTAGAGCTGAAGGGGTAATGTCCTTTAAAACTGCTCCTCTTTCCTTGGTTCACGGGCTAGAAGTGTTGCTCTGTATTACACTCTTTAATGTGTTGCAAAAATCTAGGATGTTAAAATTTTAATAGGCAAAAAAGAAAAAAAATCTTGGGAGACATAGGAAATATTTCTCATGAGATGCAATGTAGTCCTACTCGGCTGTAAAATTAGACCATATTGCAACATTTATTAATTGGGTCATATATATGAGGCCAAGTTTCAGATCATGGCTATTTGATAAAGTGATAACAGAACTTGAAAAACTAGTTTTCACATTTAAGAGCAATATACATCTTACGAATGTTTGACAATTGGAAACAAATTGTTACAATTTAGTAGTTTTAAGCACACTTTGATTAGGAAGATATTTTGCTTTTTATTATTCTCAGTACAGTTTAGCTTAGTTTTTAAGCCTTCATAGAGCAGGTTTTGTAACTCAGTAGTTCTCCTGCAAGTCAGAGTTGAAATCTACACAACCATTTTCTTCTATAGTCAAAAAAGAGCACACTGAGTTTTAATGTTATAACAAATATTACACAGTAGGACTCTTCAGTCAGTCTGGACTGTGGATTCATGAAAATAAAAGGAAGGATTCATTAGGCTATCTGTCAGAACTATAAAAAGAAATTCAGTTATGGTCCATGTTTCTCTTTAGATCTCATAAACGGAGCCCAAGAACAGTGTGAATTGCCTCCTATGGATGGTTTTCCTCACTGTGAAGGGAAAATAAAGGTTAGTGAACTGTTTTTAATCTTATTATGTGTGTACTTTTAAAAATGGAATGTATGTTGCAAGAGGTCACTACTCGGACAGTGGTGTAAAACAAGAACAACTGTGTTGAAAAAGAGGATATTTAGGAGTGTGTGTCACTACAGCATTGCTCACCTCAAGCCTTTAATACTACTGCTGCAGAGAAATAAGGTGGCATGCTATTAAGACAGGAATAAAATGCCATATTATATTAAAATGCAATATTATTTAATAAAATGCCTTATTACTTGAATTCTGTCTTGTTATGCAGAAACTTTCTTCTCCTTTTTGAAAAGCCCTGTTCTCTTCCCCAGTATGAGTCATTTGGCGTTCCCCTACCCCAGGACTGGGCTTCTGTGTGTACCTCACTCCAGCCCTTTCTCTGTTTCAGCAGGACGTTTGTTTACACTTCTTTCCCCTCTTCACCAACAGCTCTGTCCAGTTCCTTCCTTCCCCTTTTCTGTTAAACGCATTCCGCCTCTTCTGCTCACAAGCTAGGCCCTGCAATAAGTGTGCAACCAGAACTTTGGGGGTTGCAGTTGATTCTACAAAAATCTAGTATTTTGCTAATAATGCAGTTGGAAAGGCCAAGTATTGAAAGCCATCAGACTTTGGCTGGAAAATAAAAAACAAAACCCACCACAACCCAAAACCGAAACAACAAACTTGCAGAGATGGAGGGTTTGGGGTTTTTTTCCCCCAAGATATATTTCAAATGTAACGATACTGTTTTACTAGTAGGGGACAAAAGTAAAGTTGCTGGACACTTAAATGTCGTTATCAAGTATTACCATTTATTTCTGACAGTGAAAACAAATCACTGCCAAAGTATGTGTGAAATTATGTTGCCTTTTTTCTCTGAATAAATTTCTTAGACAATAGTATTTAAAAAAAAAGTCTGTAAGTTTTAAATCTCTGGTCAGTATTTTGATCCTTTTTGACAAACTGGCTGCATAGTAACTATGTCATACATTATTTGAATATTAAAATATAAATTTAAATTAATTACTTGCTTCTGCAGAAATGGCAGATTCTTGTCAGAATCAGACAGATTTCAGTCTTGGTAACTGAAATGGTCTGTTAAATTCCAGAGCAAGTGTACCACCGGGGGGTGGGGTGCAATGCAGTCAACTCTAGCCACACCTATATGTTTGGATCCTGATTATATTCTCCTTTTGATATTTGTCTCTGCTTGTCTGGCTACCAGTTTGTATAAACTGTGCTCATGTCTGGTATGTAGTTACTTCCCCAACATAGCTGAATGCAGAGTTGCAGTATGCTCCAAAATATTAATAAAATTCCTTTTTTGTTAATTGTGATTTTTATCTGGTTGGATATAGTCGCTTGCAGCTTTCCCCTGTTATTCCTGAGTTCAGTGTGAAATAGTATAGAGTTATTATGTAGTACTTAAACCTAACAGACTGTGGTTTTGTTCTCTTACAGTGGATGAAAGATATGTGGCGATCGGATCCCTGTTACGCAAGTTATGGTGTAGATGGGTCCACGTGCTCCTTTTTTATTTACCTCAGTGAGGTCAGTAATCTCTTAATCTGCAGAAGGGGAACATCATAGTGCCTCCATATTTTTGGTAACTGTTTCCAAACTTTTCTCAAAAGAAATCATAACTTTCTTCAGAAAAATTCTATAAAGAGGAAAAAACTATTAAAACAGAATTATTATGAAGTGTGTTGCTATTATTCATAAGTCCTCCAGAGATTTCTAGCCTGGAGAATTCTAATGTTTATAACTGAAGTGATGTAAGCAGCAACTCTCCAGGGAGTCCACGCTAGGTATCCTGTTAAACTGAAGTATGAAGGTCAGTCGTAGATCCTTGCCTCTGAACATTTTTTCTGTTGCTTTCAATGTAGCTCCTGAGGTAGTAATAGGGAGGTATTTTAGGGGAGGCACTTGGAATGTAAAATTTGGAAAGTGAAGCTAGATGGTACATCCTCCTGAGCAGCATGGCCACTTCCTGCTTGGAGACTGTTCATGAATTGTGGAGTCTGTTAACAGAAAACAACAAAAAAATGAAAGTCATGTTTTTGAGTGAAGTTGCAGATACATTGGCTAAAGCTTTTGGTATCTATCAGAACCAAAGGCCCAGTTTTGTACACAGATTAGCAAGGTACATGCCCTGGTGGTTTTTGTACAGACTTCCTGTTTCCTGAGTAACACTTGTTTTCCAAGAATGAATTTTGTCAATCAATTATTATGAGCTCTGTTACTGGCTTGTAGCATGTGTGCCAGAAACAGTAAGGTGTTATTTGGTCACTTGACCTCTTCTTTCTCATTAGTAAGATTTTTGATAACTTACAGCAACTGATCTTGGAAGTAGTATTGATAATCTAGTGGCTTACTGCTTGTAAAGAACTGCAAGAGCCAGCATGGCTGCAGAATTGCAAACTAATACTAATTTTGTAGTTTCTGCAGGATTGGGGGGGGAGGGGGGCGCTGGGTTTTTAAATTACGTATCTCAGATTAAAACAGTAAGTCGATTACATAAGTAACTCAGTTGTAATGAAAGCAGTTTCTGTTAATTTACTCAGTTGACTGTCATTGAACTTTTGAGGGCATTGCTTGAAGCAGCAGTAGTAGCTAAATGCATATCCAAAACACATATCTGAAGAAATCAAAAAGGCTGGGTTGAATCACAAATTTGACTCATTCCATTGCTAGTACCAAGTGTTGATTTATTTATGGGCTATAAAGCTGGGGAAGGAAAAAATACAGGATGACTATTTTATTTATCTTGTTGTTTATCATAGAAGCTAGAGATATGGTTTCATAATCATATGAAGTTATCTAAGTTTCTACTAAAAGGTTAAGTTTCAGCATCAGCGGAATTACTTTTATGCATTAGTATTCTGCCAACCAAGAGGTGCTTCATGTTTTTAGTGCAGATGTTATCTTAAAAATGGAGATACATGTCAACTGAATATGAGAATCTAATGTTCTTAAATGACATTTATTATTTTGTATTTCTGTTAAATCACAGTATTTTCTGTGACAATATTCTCTGTTCATCAGTTTTGAAAACTCAGTTGATGCTGGTTTTTTATAACTGATTTTTCAGCTCATCCTCATGGCAAAATGCAGGCATTTGCGGAGAGCAAATGGTTGTTTTTTCAAGGGTCTAGGGATTTGAAATTTTTCTTTAAGCAGCAGTATTGAATTTGGGCAACTTCTCATTTCATGATGGAACAACAGTACAATCAATCTATGTGTATAGTTGGTAACTTCAGTCAAAGGTCTTGTACTTTCTTTTTTAAAGTGTTTTCCCATGACAGAATGTAAAACTAATATTGGGTGAACATGTTATTAACCTTGAGTTTAAATTTGGTATTCTTAATCCTGTGATTAATTCCATGATTAATGCCCAGCAGCAGAGGTTGAAAGCTTAAATGTTTGCGAATGCAAGCATGAAGTGAAATTCTAATAACACTACAATGATGTGGATTTATGAGGTGTGTTGTCTGCTAAGGATAATTTGGAAATGCTGTTGCGAGAGTAATTTGTCAAGTGGACAGTGATGAAGAGTTGACAGTTTATAGTGTGGTTGCACAGCTGAATGATAAATGTGTCTACAGACCTCTCAAGTCAGAATTGCTGATTTAAAATATTAAAATGCATGAGGGTACTGGAAGCATATTACTGTTAAGATTTTTCTTTTTTACTTTAAGGTTACAGTATGGGAGTAAGATGGTTCTGTACACATGCTGTGTTTGAGAAGGCAATACATACATCAAATGATGCACAACTTCAGTTCGAAAAGAGAGAATATGCATCAAATTGTGCATATGTCTACTTTTGCTCTTAAAATCGCCTGTACAATCTAGTGACAAAACGCCTGTGCTCTTTCATACTCTTTTGAGATCTACTTTTTTCTTCTGAAGCAGTTCAGTTAGGGTATTACATTACACTCATCTAGCACTCTTTGTAATATAATTTTAAACTTGTAAACAAAGGAGCCTGAAATACTACATTTTGGTGTGTAATATGGGTCAGAACCAGAGACACAAAGTAACTTGCCCACAGTTTATGCAAAGGTTTAGAAACAAAGCTTGGAATAAAACCCACTCTTTGTGTATCTGTCACGTGCCCTTGTTATGTCTCCACCATGTGTGTCTGCAAAACAGAAGCAGTGCAGTCAAAATCCAGGCTGCCCCAAGTCTTCTCTTCTGAAGAGCCTGTACAAGTTCAAGTATTAGCAGTTCTGCCTCATCTGATTTGCTTTGGATGTCACTTCTACAGGAGACATAAGAACAACTCGCTGAACAGCTCTTCTCCACTTCTCTTCTTGTGTCTTGGCTGCTTGAGCAGAATGGGAGGCGAGTGTGGCAGCAGAGGGAAAGCAAGAAGCAATCCAGCATGTTCAGCCTTATGTTTTTTATTTAAAGTTGTCCCCTGTACAGACTTGCAGAAAAAGCTGCAAGAGTTTTTGCACTTCTGTCTTGCTGTTTTGCTGCAGGCACTGGATCACTCCTGGTGGATGATATGCAACTGTGCAGTCTTCGTAACACTAATTGTGCTGGAGCCTTTGTAGACTGGAGGAGACATAAATGGCCTGAATAGCAAAACCAGACCTACATTCTCTTGAATAACAGAGCAAGACAGGGATTAGAAGTAGTAAAAATTGAAAAGCAAGTTAAGCTAACTCTAAGGTTTCTGAATAGTTGGGACTTGTTTCATTTTAACCGTGATACAAACTTGCCCATTGAGAAGAGTTACTTCCTTTTTAAACTTAGCATTTAGTTATGAAAAAGCCAGTTGTTTAACGCTGTAATGTCACTGGCACAGTTATAATTTTCATGGATGGCATTGCCTCTGGAATGAAATGTGAAAAAATTAATTTCTAGACAGTACAAAAATGTATTTCACTGCAAAATGTCAGTTTGGAGCTGAAGAATAAAGCTTTTAAAAATATCTTCTAGAAAATGAATTTTTCATACAGCTTCCCAGCTTAACTAAAAAAAAGAAAAAAGTGGAGGGGTCTTATCACTCCTTTTCTTTATCTAGATACGTGCTTTCTCTGAGAGGACTGCCTGCCACATGGGAGTGGGACTGCTGCTGTGCCTGCTAGTCAGCCAGTAGCTGTGGTGCAAGCTACCACCGCCCAGGGGTCATTCATTACATTGCTGCTTACCCGCTGGAGCTGGGCAGATCTCATTAAAATACCAGGTTTGGGATCTCGAGCTTGCCTTTCAGGTGCAAGAGTAATTTTAGGTACCCACCTTGGAAGTGGATCCAATGCTTCAAAAGACTAAAACTGTTTCAAAGACTAGCCTTCAAGACTCCTGTAGCTTTTGTGCGTATACCACTAGAAAGAATTCATGCTTTCAGTCCTTCAGACTTGATGGAAACAGAATGTATGGTTTGGTTGCAGGAGTATTTTTCTTTACACTGTTAATTTGCTTTGAGGGATAAAGCAGAAAAATACAAACTGAAGGTGATTTTGAATGTGGGTTTGTTTCCAGAATGCAAGCTGTAGTCTGAGGCACATTTTAGTGAAAACACCTGGGAATCATAATTATACAGGTTCCTCAAATCCTTGTGGTTTTGGTAGTTTACTGCAGTTTGCTCATGTCTGGATGGAAGTCCCCTTTCCACAACTTCTGCTGTGTGCGTAAGCTAATTTCTGACATTGAGGTGAGTTAATGATTTGCATTTCTTCAGTGTAATGAAACATCAAACCAGCTTCTTTGAATTCTATGGAAATACTCGGAAAATTGACAAAAATAGTATTGTTGTCTGAAGTGTAAAGCAGCAAAAGTTCAAAGTTCTTTAGTCATCTTAACGTGTTCCTAAGAAAGTGAAATGCTAATGATAGCACTTTGTCCCCAAATCATCCATTAGTATATTGGCCTGGATTTGGGTGATTTGGGCTCAGTTATCTTTTCTACTTCTGTCACTTTAAAAACTGGGATTAGTCTTTTTCTGTCTTGTTGGAAAAGCCGTAGATGCCATTGTAAGAGAGGAATCAAATTTAGTGCGCATAACTGAAGTTAGATAAAAGACCATTTGTTGATTGATGGTTACGTATAAAATTTTGTGCTGCAGTGTCACTGGGACTGTGGGTACCTAACACCCGATGTTTGAGATTGCCTCTGGAAACAACCAAAGCCAAAGTTCCCTGTACACGCCTCCATTTCACTGAACAGGCAGGCAGTCATCTTGCACACCACAGATTTTGTAGCACCTTCAAAATGACTACCTATCACTGAGGAAATGCTAAACAAAATATAGGTATTACAGCTTCTATAGGAGTTGAGAAAGTTACCTTCCCAATGGGAGCAGTTCTTCCGTATCAAATTCTCAAATGGGTTTTCTAAGTGAACATTATGAGTTCTCTTCTCTGCCTGGCTTCATACTGCCTAATAAATTTAAAGATGCACCTTCTTTCACCAGCTGTTGCAGCACTGTTTGTTGGGTTTTTTTATTTCCCACTCTAGGGCTGACACAAGATACTTAATAGCAGCACTTCACCATGGATAGCAGTACACTGAGCAATAATGTCGTTCACCTGATGTGCAAAG